TACCTTATTGCGGACAAGTATCCAGACCCAAAAGTGACATGGATTGGACTTACCTGGGAGAACTTTCACCATATGAGTTTGTGGGACCGATACATTATATCTCTATGCTGGGCCATTGTCACTCTCACAACTGTTGGATATGGTGATCTACATCCTATAAACACACATGAAATGATATTTGACATTTTCTACATGCTGTTCAACCTCGGTCTCACATCTTATACCATTGGAAACATGACAAACTTGATTGTTCAAGGAACCAATAGAACCAGGAAATTTGTGAGTAAATTCTGGTTTATTTCCATAGAATCGTGTTTTGATCATAGGAGCTCAATTCTTATATATTTTGGGTGCATTATCTAATCTCGCAGAGGGAGTCTATACAAGCCGCTTCGAGCTTTGCCAAAAGGAACAACCTGCCTCGTCAACTGGAAGATCAGATGCTAGCTCACTTATGCCTAATGTACAGAACTGACTCGGAGGGGCTGCACCAACAAGAAACTCTTGACACACATCCAAAAGCCATTCAATCGAGTATATCGCATTTTTTATTTTATTCTCTCATTGATAAGGTATACTTGTTCCAAGGGATATCAAATGACTTGCTTTTTCAGCTGGTAATTACCAATACCACCTCAATTTATTGGATCATCTCTGTCTCTTTGGGGGATGGAGGGATTGATTTGACAGGTCCATTTTGAGCTGGTTGAATCTGAAAGACCACCTTTTTTTAGGTCTCAGAGATGAAGCCCGAGTATTTGCCACCCGGAGAAGATGTAATTTTGCACAATGAAGCACCTACGAATTTCTATATTCTGGTCAATGGTATGCTCTCTCTCTCTCATGGAAAATAGGAGAAACATTTTCTTCTAGTGCAATATGTCAGCCTTCTGATACTGAATTCTTGGTTCAGGATCTTATTTCGCACAGAAATGGAATAAAACGGGTATATTTTTTAAATTCCATTGGCAAGACTGATATTTTTAAACGCTTGCATTTCATAGTATTGATCTAACACGATGTTTTACGATGACTGATTATAGGTTCTCAAGGAATTAAAGGCAGGGGATGTTTGTGGAGATATAGGTGTTCTCTGCTATTAGCCACAACTTTTCACGGTTCGTACAAAACGGTTGAGTCAGTTGCTGAGATTGAATAGCACTTCATTTTTGAATATTGTTCAAACAAATGATGGAGATGGGGCAATAATCATGAACAATCTTCTTCAGGTAAATAGAGCGCCAAAACTTCTTTAACTTGAACTTAAATCCTTTTCTGCAATTCCATTCAGTTAGTAAGACCACACATCCATCTTAGCATCCTCATTTCCTCTGCTTTCATGTTATTACCATCTTGTGCTATTTTGGCCCAACGCTCATAACCATAAAGCACAGCACATCTAATCATTGTTAAGTAAAATCTCTGTTTCGTATTCTTCCGTGGACGATTATAACTTAAGCTGTGTATCTAATTTATTTTGTTTCTGATGCAGCTTTTGAAAGAGTACCAACACCCTGAAGTGCAAGCAATTTCAGCTGACATGGAGCTCATGCTGGCTCGGGGACAAATGGACCTGCCTCTCATCTTATGTTTTGCAGCTGAAAGAGGAGACGATGTGTTGTTGTTCCAATTGCTGAAGCGAGGTTCTGATCCAAATGAATTGAGCAGAAATGGGCGCACAGCTTTGGTTCGACTATTCTTCTGTATTCTTGCAATGTGTTAATGATTCAAATATATATGCATGAATTGAAGGCGTAATAATACATTCGTATTTTATGATACAGCATCTTGCAGCATCAAAAGGAAAGTTAGAATGTGTGCTTCTACTTTTAGATTCTGGAGCAGAACTAACTGTAAAGGTACTTCTCGTGGTTAAACTAAGGATTCTTGAGATTTTACCTGTCTTTTGAACTTTACTTACCAGAATAGAATGACAGAACTTCCTGTCTGCAGTTCTTACATTCTAATTTTAAAATTCAGTTTCAAAATTTTGTTTCCCCGAAAGCAACAACAATGAACTTTATTGTTGATGCTGTGACAATGAAATATGGAATGGTCGTTATCCTTTTTTTAAATAAGACTTCTAGAAGCCAACTTTTACGAAGAAAATCTGATAAGGAAATTATTAGTGAGAATTTGCTATTTTCTTGTTGAAGACTTGAATTCATAGTGCAGAAGAGCCTTATCGGGAGTTAAAGTCGATGTAGGTGATTATTTACTGAAGACTATAATCTTGGATGAATCTTATGTTTAATTTTTTCAATGCTTCTTGAATATATAAGGCTATGAAGATTTGTGAGATGCAAACTGACATACTTTTTTGCAGATTCCGAAGGAAATGTTCCTCTATGGGATGCAATATTGGGGAAACATGAAGCTGTTAAAAAGTTACTCGTTGACAACAGGGCAACACTACTTTCTGGCAATGTGGGCAAGTATGCTTGTTTCGCAGCCGAGCAAGGCAACATAGGTTTACTCAAAGGAATCATCAGACATGGGGGGATGTTACATTGCTAAGTAATATGGGAACCACGACAGTTCACACATGCATTTCTAATGAAAATGTCCAAATTGTCAAGTTCCTGTTGGAACAAGGAGCGGATATCGACAAACCAAATGTGTGGCTCGACACCCAGAGCCTTAGCAGATTATAAGGGCCATGAAGAGATAAAGGCTTTAATCAAAACCATGCCAGAGTCCAACAAACAGAAGATGCCCCACAAAAATAGGAGTCGGACATCAGCCATGCAAAATGCTCCATACCTCAAAAAGTACTCGAATAAGGCAACAATGCCTCCTTTGACGTCCGAAGACACATCAACATATGGAGAATCCAGCTTGTCCCACAACGGCTTAAGACGAAGGGCAAGCAAATACCAGAATTCTCTTTTCGGGATTATCTCTGCTGCTTCTGAACCAAATGAAGGTAAAACTGACTTTAAAGCAATATGATGTCTCTTTAACTGAAGAACTTGTGAATGCCATCACCTTAGGAAAATATCTGATAGCTTGTGCACCATCAATTGATTTTAAGAAAATCATGTGTTAAAAAACACGAGTCGAATTGGTTTCAAATTACGTATTTTTTGACAGTTCTTGAGCCCTAAACAAGGATGTTGGACTGAACTGTACAGAAACTGCGTATTTACCTAATATGGGTGTACATAGTTCGGTTTCGAGTATTTCTTAGGATCTTTTAACATATTATTTATTTCATACTTTGTAGGAGGAATGGGTCTTTTTGCTTGCACCTCCCATTGATCATGCAAGTCGACAGAACCGTGCCCGAGTCGTTGTGAGCTGCCCGGAGATGGGTAACATAGCTGGGAAGATGGTGATTCTGCCAGGATCCCTTCAAGAGTTGCTGGATTTGGGATATTAGAATTTGGAATCCATCCTACCAAAATTCTAAACAAAGATGAAGCTTTACTTGAAGAATTGGATGTAATAAGAGATGGTGATCATTTGATTTTAGCCAGTTAGGTGTATCTGCAATTTGAGGTCAAATAAAGAGTATACATTCCAACACATTTTGAAGCCATTTATGTGAGGTTCTTTGAAATCCCATTCTAGAAATTTGAAGAAATTTTATTATCTAGTAATTATTGTTTGCTTATGATTTCTTTCTTCTTCTTCTTCCTTTCTTTTTTATTTTTTTATTTTATATATATATATAAGATCTAGCGATGAACCGAACAAAATATTTACATTATTCAATTAACTACATTTATTCAATGTACTTTAATATTTTTTGAATTATATCATTACAAATGATAGGGTAAATTAAAATCTAAAAAGTAAAGAGAAATAAGTTCTTAAATATAGGAACAACTTTGGATTATAAAAAATTGACTAAATAAATATATCATCAAGTAAAAAAATATTAGGTTACTTGAGAAGAAAAATTCCTTTCTTTTTTCATCTGCCTAGTTTTCTTTTTCCTTTTCTTTTTTACTTTATAATACTAAGTTTCAATTATTTCTCTATATATACACATTAAACTTGTACTTTGCTTTTTATATAGTTCAGTCTGTCACAAAAATTAAGAAATTTAAAAGAATTGGATACTTTATATTAAGTTTCAATTAATCCTCTATATATATGCGAAAGAAGTTCAGTCTGTCACAAAAACTAAGAAAATTAAAAGAATTGGATACTTTATGTTAGGCCTGTAAATTATCACTTTATATTGGGCCATCTTATTGGACTCGGACAAGGTCCATCAGAATTGGGCCCCAAAGTCGAGGCTCTGACAAGGCTAGTCGAGGCGCCACCGAGGCCCTAAGGAGTTCAATTGAGGCGCTCGTCGAAATGCCTATTATTATGTTCATATAATCACCTCCTTATTGGACTTGGACTTCGGCCGATCAACCCGTTTGGCCCATTTCACTTCTGTTCCCTTATATATATGGATTCACTCACACAACTAAGGTATGTTCTACACTCTCTAGCCAAACCTCCATCTCCATACTATTGCACTCTATATATATATATATCTTCATCCAGCCGTTGACTTGACCATCAAAGTACAAACAGTCGCCGGACCTTTTTCTCGTTCGACCACCTTTGCCTCTTAACGGGGTGCTACTTAAGCAGGTTTCAAGGGGACGAGGCCAGGGATCTGTTGGAGCCATTTTTTGGAGGTCAACACTTTATATTAAGTTTCAATTATTTCTCTATATCTACACAAGAATTGGATACTTGTTTAAGTCATATTTTTCGATAAAACTATTGAAATGGTATTTTTTGTCGAGGAACTTAGTTTGAAAATCAAGTAAAAATTTAATTTTTATTTGAAATATTTATGTTATCATGATTTTGATCGTTTTTATTATATATAGAGGGAGAAAGAAAGATGGGGGAAGGGGTAAAGCCATTGTGAGAAAGATGTTGATAGATACCTTAATATAATGTACATTAGCAAGATATGATTGGATGAAAAAATTGAATATATGTTAATCAATTCAATAATAGAATATCATGTGACATTATATCAAAGATTATGTCAACTTTCTTGCATTAGTAATGGAGCGTATCCCAAAAAATTAAAAGAATACAAACAATTTTCATTAATTTGAGTCTCTATTGTTTATATTACAATACATTACATCCTTCTAAATTCCCAGCTGCTTAAAGCCAACGACAACAAATATTAGACAATCCCTTCGTGCTATAAATTTTTTCAACGATCATGCAAGGAGAGTAACGGTCTTCAAGTTTGATATGCAGTGATGAATCATACTGCACATCTAAAATACAAAATCTTCAGTTCTTTCTCTTTTTTCAGTATTGTCCAGTGCTATCCAACTCTCTTACTGTTGACTCCCTGGTAGATTTTATCCAGCTCTCTTACTGTTTTTACCATTGCTCTTTCTTCATTCTTCTTCCTTTCTCTATCTCTATCTTTTGGTGTATTCCTATGCTTTAGTTGTCCACTGGGGACTTCAGGTACTGATGTTATAGTGAGAGCTCAAGTCATATCCTGTCAGGTCCTTGAGGGAAAACCTGGACAAACATATTACATCGTATCGTATTTTCAGAAATCAAGCAATAATGAACCAATAGAGATGAGTTAAAGTAATGACCGACCTGAATCTGCCTCTCATTGAAGCTCACGGACCTATACTTCAGTTCACCTCTGCGAGTCGTCATCTCATCTAATAATTCGTCAGAAGATATATCATAAGTGTCGTCTTCACCATCAGGATCAGCTGATTCTCGATTCTGCGTTAACAAATTTCAGAACATTAAACATGCTTCGTCAAATACAAAGGGTACTTGATAGTACTGCAAACTCATTTTGTCCTCGGCCCTATCACGAACTGTCTAGTCCAGCACGACAAACATGATAATTACACAGACAAAATGTTGTTCACTCTTGAAACTTGAAGCAGCATCATAAAATTAGAAGACACAAAATAACGTACTCTGAGTGAGAGACTCCTTGCCCGAGATGGAATTCCAGCAATTTCATCGTATTCAGCCGCATCTAATTGCTGAAGATAATTTGACGGAAACACCTTGGGGAGGAGGTGTTCTCGTATGCTTATCAGAAGGAAGAAAGGCAATGGAAACAATATTCCGGCAATAGGTATCCATGTGATTCCAAAGCATACCAAAAGATATGCAAACTGGAAAAGAGTAAACATGAAGATGTACTTGAATGGTACTGACTCCACAAACGAAGCATGAAGCCCTTCAATGACTCTGCCAAAAGAAGGATCCCAATAAGTTAACAATTAGGATCTTAGCTTAGGTCCTATTTGATGTAGATTTTTTGGAAAGTGAATTTTTTGAAGAATGTGTGGCTAAAAAGTAAGAAAAAGTCATGAATTCACGTGCAAAATTATTTTATTGAGAGTGTATTTTTCTCGAGAAAATATATGAAAAAAGAAACTTCAAGCATGATGAATACACAATGCTTACTTAAATCGCCGCCCTGGAGGAATGAAGAGCAGCAGCATCCTCTCCCAAAACTGATTACCAGGGAGGCTGTCAATGGCCATATAGGCAAAGTATCCCCACAGAACAGAGGTAGGTATCATCTTGATCACGGGCATAGCAATTACAGACAACCCCACTAGAATAGATTGCAGCAGGTTGCTTATTCTTTGCTCGTTTACTCGAACAGGCAAGTGGAGATCAATGCACTTTTCAGGTTCAAATTTTCCATTTACTTCCACTTCATCGTCATGTTTCAAGACGGCCTCCTTCAAGTTCGCCAAATCTTTTTCTACAGTATACTGAGGTAAAACAAAACTTGTTTAACTAAATCATGCACAATTTCATGTGAACATAATTGCTTATAGAAACACGAGTTTAAAGGGACAACTTACAGATGGAGCATTATCCATTTCAACAAATACTGCGTGCATTCTTCCATAGATCTCCGAGTGGCTCGCTTGATCTTTCATGCCCTCCTTTGCACTCTTCACCATTTTCTTCCGTATTAACTGCAAATCAGGGACCAAATAGTAAATATATTCTCTATTCACATTTAACACAAATGATATGCAAAAAATTTTCTTAAGAAATAAATCTCCCACCTGCCTCTTGAGGACCGCAAGACTCTTAGTGTGCATAGGGGATTGTGGAAGGACCCCATTAGAAGGAGGAAGTCCAAGCAATCCACAGATCAAAGTCTGATATAAGAACAATAATAAGAAACAGAGATAAGCTTTCCGTGGGACAGAAACAGATATATAAAACAGATGTATAAATCTTCTCTATCAGGGAAGCACCCCTGACTCAAGTTATATGCCATCAAGAAGGAAATGCAAGACCAATTTTTAATTATACCATGAATCCAAGCAACATGATATCATAATGATAAGCAGACGGATTTTTGATGTTGAATTCCTTCTGTTGTGCCATCTGTGAAGCTACACTGTGGTCAAAAAAGTATAGCCCTGCTATCATCACAGCTGGTATGAAGGCAGCAAAAATATACCCTGTTGGCACCTTGCCCATATCCTGCAGTTCCAAGAGATGAAATTCATAAATTTCTTAAATCTTGAGCTAAATTAAAAACTTGTAGAAGATTATATTTAAAAAAAAAAACAAGAAACAAGAAACAATACAATAAGCTGCATGTAACCTCAATTTGATGTTGAAGACATAATTTAAATAAAAAAGTTTGCACTTTATAATAGCTTAAGTCTTTAGACGAAGTTGTCATTCGAGTAAGCACAGATCCTAAGTTTAAGTGTTGGTGTCAATTTGACGATGAACATAATTCAATATAAAAAAATAAATAAATAAAACACGTCACCCTCTCTAATAATTTAAGCTTTTAGATTAAGTCGTTGAATATGGTATCCAAGCAGGTACAAGTCTTATTTTAAAGTTTGAATGTCACCTATTGTGAAAATTGTAAATTTGTTTGGCCTGTGAGGGGGCATGTTGAAAACATAATTTAAATAAATAAGTATGTTCACTATTTAGCCCTTGTTTGATGGCCATTATTTTGGTCAAAACAATGTTTCGAATAGTGATTTTAGGAGAACGTGTCATTAAAAAGTAGGGAAAAGTTTTATGTTTACATAAAGAATATTCTATTATATGAATGTGTGGTTAAAAATGAGTATGTAAAAAAAGGATTTTTCAAGTAATGGTTGTCAAACAAGGGCTCTTATTAGCATACATTTTTTAGATGAGGTGATTCAACAATTGATACCTTGATCACTGTCCAGTGAGCTAATGATTCAGAATCCCAAGGAAGAGGACAGAAGAGCCTCCTCGGGACTCCTGAAGGAACTTTGCCAGGTATACTATAAGATAACACAGTCCACAGCACAACCATAAGCGGAACCCCATAGTCGGCAATAAAACTCCGAAAAAAGCCTATGCACATTGACCAAAGGTTAAAACTCAGACACAATAAAGTGATTAATATAATCGATTTTACAGAAATTATAACGTTTACATACCAGTACCATAACGCCAAGACCTAGCTCTTCTGCTCTTCAGGGAAGTGATGACAACCCCAAAAAAGAATATGACAGCAAGCAAACCATTAGCATAGAGCCATTGAAATTGATACTTCTCTTCTGCCGCATTTTCACCTTTTGGAATGTGAAATTCACTGACCACACCCTATGGTTCAAACATCAATAATTATTTAATATAATTTCTGGCCAACTTACATACTCAATACCATCTAATACTACGTATCGAACACGCACTTAATAGTAGTCCAATCATCAAGTAGGAATTTGGAGTATGGAAAAAGATATTGTTTTAATGAAAATAGCAAAGACAAACCTTGATAGCCTCTTGAATGAAAAGAACAGTGATCAACATGCCGAAAAGTTCCCCTGCCACTCTTGTAAATCTGGTGATGATTGTGCAAGCATTGAAGATAGCAAGTAGAAACAGAAGCAAGGCAGTCCAAACACAGACCCTGTTAAAAAATAATAATAATAATAATAATAATCAACATTTTTGTATTACATAACACAATGTGCTTGCTTAAGATTTTACGACATCATAGTATTCTAGGAATATGGTTTTTCTTACCATCCGGCCCAGGCTAAGTACAGCTCTGTTCCCATCCTGGGCTTTGCAAAGCCATACAGATAAGTGTACATTATAATTGTTGGTTCTGCAACTCCTAAAATCAATAATGGTTGTCCACCGAAAATTGCATGGATAATTCCACAGATAGCAGTTGAAGATAGAGTTTCAACCGTACTCAAACTTCCATCTAGCACAAAATAAAAAATAATAAAAATCCATAACAAATCAATCAAAGTTTAAATTAGAGTGTTCATTAGCCATTTCACTAGTTAAGCTTATCACAAAAAATATCCAAAGCCAAGAAACAAGAAATGACGACCGACCTGTTTCCCGACTCAGTTGCTCCCCAAAGGCGATAACTGGGAGAGCAGAAGCAAAGAAAATGTATGCTGTTGGAGCCAATATCCTGAGAAAAAGGTTAATACAGAAAAAATCAGAATTAAATCCAGTGCTTAATAATAAACAAAATCCCTGTAAATTCCTTCCAAGACTAGACAAAAGGACTTCACCTTGCGCCCGAGCCACATGCATCAAACCAGTCATTTTTGTAGCACGCTAGCCTTCCTTTGAAATCATAGATGACTCCCTTGAATGGAGATCTCAGGTTTTCCATAGTGTTTTCTGCAATGGAAGAAACTAAACACATCACTTATAATGATGATAAATGTATCCGGAAAAATAAAACAAAATACATATTATCACAATCCTTCACAATCACAAATTACAGCTAAGAACAATAAAAGCATCGAATTAATGTAACACACTATAAAATGATCGACCAAACAGAAAACCACATGATCAAGACTATAGAGAAGATCCATGAATTCTTTAACTATAAAAATAATTAACAAAGCTCGTGAAATTTCACTGCTTATAACAATGTTGCACAGACAACAAATATTAGATTCATAAACCTCGGATCACATTGTTGCGAATTGCAAAATAATCGAAGAGGTGGTAGATAAAAACAATTAACTTACTTCAAAATCCATATTTTGATCCTAAAATATACGAAACAGAAAAAAGTTTCACAAAAAATAATTGAAACCCTTTTCTGAAAACGTTTTTACCTTTCATTTGCTTTCCAAAAAAAAAACTAAAAATTAAACGTACTTCTCAGACATGCAAATACAAAACTGTTCTTGATTGCATCTTGATCCAATAAAATAGAAAATTTGCCAGAAAAAATTAAATCCAAGCCCATAAATCTTGTAAATCCCATCAAATTCTTCACACCAACAAGCAATATACGTTAATAGAAAAACACACCCACACACACACACACATCTGCAAAATTTTAGCCATACTAAAAATGAAATAAGAAGAAAGAATTGGACCTTGGTATGAAGAAAGAACACAATGCAGGTGACTAGTATTTGAATATATCACAAAATCTTTTACCGGCCGGCAGAACGCCGCCGGTGACAAGAAAATATATGCCTTTTCACCTCTTTTTCTCTTTATTTATTTTGCTCTGTTTTCACTTGTTTGCTCTTTTTCTCTCCTACTTTCTCTCTTTGCCAGTTGTATATAACAATGAAGGCTCTGTTAGAGAGAGTAATGTATACATATACACGTATATATAGAGAGAATCGTGTGTTAAGCGAAGTGACTGATCGAGGTTTGGCGTTCAAACATAGAAATCGGGACGAAAATGCTCGGGTGGGGCCCAATGAGTCTGGCAATTTTACTGAAAAAAATGAGATATTTTTTGGGACTTCTGAGAAGGTTACTATATTTCATTAAAGTCCTTGTAGTTTTTTATAATTGTTTTTGTGACCCTCAAGACTTTTGATCTTCTTCATTTCAACGCCTTAGAACCGATATAAGCAATTAATCAGTATGAATTTGGGAAAAAAATTTAGGCTACAGGACCCTTAAGTACTATTTACTTACTCACCACTTATTTATATTTATTTATAAATTAAACAGTTTATAAATCTTTTCAAATGAAAGTAAACCCCCGTTTTGGCCCCATTAATTTTTATTACATTACATTTCATTTTTTTCTCTCTTATTTTCAACCACATAATCTTCCATAAAAAAATATTATACGTAAATCGAAAATTTTTCCTTCTTTTTCAACCACTCATTTTCCAAAAAAATATTATTCCATCCATTTTCATTACACAAATGAAGGCCAAACGGGGGCTAAATTTATTTGTTGATTTGAGCAACGAAGAATTTTGGCAAACACGGTTCAATGTAAAATTCATCCATATTTGTTTCAGTTAAAAAATTATACATTTCATAGTATTTACAATTTTTCAACAATATATTTCATCAATGTTTATTAAAATCTACTAGGTGTGAAATTGATTTTTAAAAAACTCGAAAAAATTGCAGTTCGATCCCAAATCTTTTATTTGTATCACCCACAGTTCCAAATCTTTAATTTTATTGTAACAAAATGACAAATGGATGTTTAACACTCAATTGACCATAAAATTTAAAATTCGTCCACTTTTGACTAATTTTAAAAGGACAAAATGGTAAATTTACTCTTTTTTTTCAAATATTGACACTAAGAATAATTGTCCTTGCAATGCAGCTAATTTAAAATTTTGGGACCATAGGGTGGTACAGATGAAAATTTTGAATAAGCTTTTCAAAAAAGGTAATAATATTTGAGAGTGCAATGCAATTATTATTATTCCTAAAAAATCTTTTTAACAAAAAGAAAAACATGAAAATAATCAAAATATGTCGTGATGGGATCCACACGGATTCAATTAAGACCCAAAATAAAAATGCCGCGTTTGGTGGGTAACGCCGCGGGAAAAATGTCACATGAAGGGAATTTTGTTTTGTCCTCTATTGTAGCAAACAACCATTCCCTAATCCCTAGTTGGTGCATCAAATAAAAGTTAAAGGGAGTGAATCTTTGTGTAAATAGGCTGGAATTTCCAATGTCCAACTCACACTTGGTTGTTTAAAATTAAAATTTGTTCAAACTCTACCGAACCCGATTTGACATTATTAAACAGTGATTTGATATCATTTCAACAATAATTCTTTAATAAAATAATATTACGCGTAAAACTAAAACTTTTTCTTATTTTTTTTAATCATACATTTTCTATCAATCGATTATTTCAAAATACTTTCTGTCAAAATAACGGGGCTCAAACACACACCGAATATGTAGCTTTTGTAATGTAACTGATGTTCATAGTAGTGAAGCTTATCTAATTAGGTTAAGATGCAATTTGATTTCAGAGGAGGAATTAAAGATGGATACGTTATCACTTGAAAGTCTTGAATTGGTATTAGATACCATCATTCATATTCAAAAGTAAAGTACAATAATTTGGAGCGTGCTTGGGAGTGCTCAAATTAATTTTTTCTTTTTTTAACGCGTTTCATCACAAACAAAATGTACACAAATTTACCCTTAGCCTTTTTTGGTATAATAGATTCCCAAGATTTCAATTATGTAGTAAAACTCGTCATTTCGTCCATTTTAGATGAAATTGTGCACATCCTTGAGAGTCTATTTGAGCCCCATTTGTGTCTTGATTAGATTTTGTAATAGTGAGTTTTTGAAAAATATATGGCTAAAAATTAAGAAAATTTTGAGTTTGCGTGTAAAATTATTCATTGAGAGAATAAATGAGTTTGAAAAAAAAAAAGAATGGAGATTAAAAGGAGGCTAAATAAACAAAAATAAAACAAAGTAACAAAAAAATTGCAGAAAGAGTCCCATAAATTCTCAAAAAGTATAAATGGGTAACACATAATGAAAAAGACTAGAAAATTGGTTGGTTGCGGTGATAATAGGTGGCGGCGATTATGGGGCGTGGCTAGTGGAGGGAGTGGGGCGTGGGGGCTAGTGGAGGGAGTAGGGCGTGGGGACTAGTGGAGTTGGGAAGACGAAAGTTTTTTCCATTTTTTACTTCTTTTTTTTTCCCGAAATCCTTCTTTGATTTGTGGGATTTATTTGTTCTCTTCTTTCTCTGTAATTCCCTCTATTTTTTTTTTAATTGTTTTATGACTTTATTTTAATTTTATTTATTTAAAGAAGAGAACAAATTCTTTCAAATTGACAAAAGACGAGTTATGCTACATAATTGAAAAGTTGGGAATGAATTATGCCCAAAAAGTTTGATGCTATATTTGTTATTGGGGATGAAAATGGTAAAATTTCCAATTAAAATTTAAGTAATTATAAGTTTTAAATTATGCGGAATGTGTAAATATCAAATGAGTAGTAGTTGCGGAATCATATAAATGTGTGAATAGAAATATGTTTAATCAATTTAAATTATATTAATTTAGTTTTGCACCAAATGTGCATTGAGTATGCAGTGTTAGATTATACTGGATATTAGAGTTGATAAGATTTTTTTTCTTACAAATATTATCGAGTCTTTTGCAATGTCTCAATACCATGTCCAAAGTGTTGTAAATATAGTAATATTAATGAATGACTTTTATACCCCTTGCAACTCTAGTCATTATAATCGTTGCATCCCTTGTAGTCATAATCCTTCTTATAAATATAGGACTTTGGTTGTTAATAAAATATACAAATTTATTGACGTTTCTCTTTTGTTATCTAGTTTATAATACGTTATCAGCACGAGTATCTAAAAATCAAAGTGAGTTAGTTAGAAGGTAATGATTTTTATTAGCACAATCATTTGTTGCATGTATCAAAATTAATTTGGTGACAAATGATTTATTTTTTTTAATCAATTCACGCATCCAATTAATATTTCTGTATTGGTTCATGGAATTAAGCAAACACATAGATAGAGGATTTATACATAGCAGTTCTAATGTTTATTTTACTGAATTTATAATGATTATTTTACCAATGCATGTACTAACCAATTGTGATTATTTTATTGTACAATGAATCATGATTATTTTATATGTATATCATATCTGTATTCATATCCTATTTGTATAACTTATTTGCATGAATTTTATGTAGATTCAACGATGACACTGTTTGTACATCTATTTAGTTAATCAATAATGAAACCAAATTATCTACGGTAATATTCCAAAAAAAATATTATATATTATTTTTGGAAGGAAATAATCTTAATCAATATTTCTAAAGTAGCACAAATATTTTACTTAATATTCTAGAAAAATATTACTTCCCCCAAAGAGCATTAAATGCATTCTAACGTAAATTATAATTTTTTTACTTCTAAAAAATAAATCTTTGTATATTATAATAATATTTGATTACTCATAAAGAACATGGATTATAACTTCCACTATTTTAGAAGTTATAATAATATTTGATTACTCATAAAGAGCATGGATTATAACTTCCACTATTTTAGAAGAATATTAATATATTACTTTTGCAAGAAGAGTAATAAAATACAAAGTATTCTCAAAGTAGCACATGTTTCAAAGAATATACAATTTTGAATTGGTGTTTATCTCTAAAAGAAAACATATAACTTATGTCATATTGACATTGATTAGTTTGTCTACTTAATTGAATACTATACGAACATATAATATTTAATAATATTTTTCGAAATTAAATAATTGAATTATAAGGGTGTTTGACATTCATTTTTAAGGAAAAATAAATTTTAGAATAGAAGATTGATGGAGAATGTGTGGATGAATTTTTTTATTTATTTATGTATAATACTATTTTAATAAAGAATGTGATTAAAAATAAGAGAGAGAAAATGCATTTTAAGATAAATGGGAATTAAACGATGCATATATCTTATATTCAACTAGAAGTCCAATTTGATCTATTGTTTGGCATGATCAGAAGGACCATTATTGGCTCAATAATGATGCAAAATTAAAAATTTAAATGGATATTCAACGAAGAACCAAAAGATTCTTCAATTTAATGGAATCTTATATGATGTTTGTTCTCTTTCTTGAAAATTTTTCATTAATTATCACTAGCTAAAATATGGACAGAATTCCCTATATTTCTGAAAATTATCGGTGTGATAAATGGGGCCCTATCATCTTTCACGTTGATCATCTATATATTATTTTTATATAATAAATTTGATGCAGATACTAGATGATTGCACGGTATTCATAACTTAAGTTTGCGAATTACTACTCAAATCATGAGCATAATGTTCAAATTATACAATCAAGATGATATGTCTTATTAATGCTAGCTATCCTAAATCTCAACATTTTAATAAGTTTTAATTGAGATGCTAATAAATGATTTAACATTGTTGCTTGTTAAACGCCTTCAATTAAATTAAATGAGAATAAAATCATTTCCATTTTTATTTAGGGAATGTCATTATGCATCATGCTAACATCAAAGTTCTTAATATTATAATTAGCTCATGGTCAGAATTAGATTTCTTCATCTAATTACTCGATAGTCAATATATGTACAATTAGTCCATCACATTGTACTGTGACAAAAAAATTAGTAAAGAATGCTGAGAAGAAATGCATAGTCCGAACCCTTATACAATATCTCAAACCTCAACAAGTGATATTTTATAAAAGAGTTTGTTGATTGTCAATTTGATTAGAAAATTCTCTCAACATTAGAAAAAGGAATTAAGAAGCTGAAAATAATATACGAATGTATCATTAT